ATCCAATCTGTTGCCATAGTTTGCATCAGGTAATACTAACAGAGTGCAGTGTTTTATTGACAAAATGACTAAGCATTTTGACTCTCTTGTGAACAATGACACAAGGACTTTTCATTCTGATGGCACTGATATATGTTCATTGACATAAATACTTTTGAGAGATGAACTAAAGATTTTGAGTAAGTTACAGGTTTTGCAGGTAATCCAATGTGTGGTGCTGTTTGTACGGATTGTTTTGAGAATGCACATACTTTGCAAATATTAAGGATGATTTGGGAAATGCACCAAAGCGACTGAGAAAAACTGTAAAGTGTACTTTATTTGTGTTACAAGTAGCCTACATTACAAATTAATTACGAGTCTCTTCGAAACATACAAGCAGCATAAGTGTATTTATATATATTTAAAAGATTTATTTTTGGCGTTTTCACCTTTTATTAGGATAGGACAGTAGCTAGACAGGAAGTGAGGTGGGAGAGAGAGAAAGAGGGGACAGGATCGGGAAAGGTCCACAAGCCATGCAGGACTCGAACGCAGGTCTCTCGAAACACATCGGCGTGCTTGCCCACAAGGCTATCAGCACCGACCACAAGTTTTTACTACAAATTGCACACTTTGTTTTCAATAACAATTTGACATTAATAGACAAATAATACGTATCTATACTTTGTACAAAATACTGTTGTATATTTATAATATGTTGCATTGTTACAATGATCATTTATAGCACACAGTTAAAATATACCTAAAATATATTTTAATAAAGTGCAAATAAATACACTTTTAAAAATAAACGTACTCTTACTCTCTTACTCTTAATATTATATTTTAAAAATAAAATATACTCCAAGTATATTTTTCTAAAATATATGTTTAGAAAATATAGCCTACTAAAGTATAGCTACAATTATTTTAAAGTGTGTTAAAAAATTGTATTGTAAAAAATAGGTAAAAGTGTGATGCTAATATACTTTTAATATAGGCCTATTTAAAGATAGTAATTTTGTTATATTTGCAATGTACTATTGGAAAAGGGAATATATTTCAAGTATACTGTTTTTTTATAGGGCAGTTAGATTAGAAGAGGCTTTATTAGACAACTATAACTTTATGTGGTTTCCAAAGCTACCAATGGGGGAAAAAAGTTGTTACACTGTTTATATATCTGACTATGTGATATTTTTCCTCAATAGTTTTGGCACATTTTTCAAAACAGTCGTAACATTCTCTAAACTATAAGCTCAATTGTCACAACTGTTTGCTGGAACATCAGAACTTAGTTATTGTGTCAGTAAATTGGCCAATGCCACCAACATAATAAGTGTTTATGTCATCGTGTGAGCCTGGTCAAAATGTTTAGATGCTTTTTCACCATGGAAATATTTGTTATATTCAAATTTCATGTTTTAGGTAAAAATTGACTGGGAAAAGTCAACACTGTACACAAAAAAAGAAAATGAACATTTGTATTTGTCACAGGTCTTTTTCTTTTTCTTTTTTTTTTTGCAGTAATGGGTTACATGTCAACTGAACATTCTCAGTTGCTTGTTCATTTTTACACACTCTATCTTTTACACACAAAATCTGTCAAGCAAATTTTACAAAATTTTTTATCCTAAATTGAACAATTTCTCTCAGGTGAACCTCAGCGTTCACTGATGAGAAGGGATGTGCATTAATGATTTACAGTATGTATGTTGTATGTTCAGTTCAAATATGTACTGCAATATTGTTTACATTTGTGCACAGCTCTACCCAAAGGGAGTTTGTTTGTTGTATATAAAGGTGTATTTTTTCTTTTGCACAATGCTGTGAACAAATTAGAATTGCAAAGAGCATATGCAGTAAAAATGTGAAACATACATATTCAGTGTCTTGTACTCGGTTACCTCACTAAATACAGTAATGTGTAACTTTACTGTAGTTTTCAAAATTTGGCTGTGCAAATAGTATATAGTGCTGTCTTGAGCATTTTCAGGTAGTGTCACCAAGATCTGACTTTTTTGCATTGGAAAACATTTACGGAGTAAACTGTCATAATGAAAACATGACAAAGCCATTTAACTATCTTGTTCATAAACAATGGTGTCAGGACTTTTCATCTTGATGACACTGACACTTTTTTCATTGACATGAATACTTGCTTTTGAGGAATGAGCTATCCATTTTGAGCAAGTGACACGCTTTTGCAGGTTAGGTTTAGCAGTTTGTAGCTACTTATTGTTTTGAGAACTGCATTAAAGGTGCAGTGTGTAACATTTTTGAGTATTTATTAACAGAAATGCTATATGACATCCATAACTATGTGTTCAGTGGTGTATAAAGAACTTACTTAATAAACCGTAATGTTTTTATTACCTTAGAATGAGGCATTTATATCTACATAGGCGCGGGAATCCCCTTCTATGAAGGTCGCCATATTGTGACGTCATGTTTCTACCGTAGCCGAACGCGAACAAACAGCGCTACAGAGCGCGTTTCGTCACTACCTTGAAAGAGAAGCCACAGGAAGCTAGAAGAAGCTAGCCATAAACACCGTGAGTAGTAACTTTTCCCTTGTCAGTGGTGTAAATATGTAGTTGGATTGTTTCATGTAACTTAATTCTTCTCCCTCGCTGTGTTATGGCTTTGCTATGTGGGGATAAATGTGTTGGTTAAGTTCGTGAGACAGCTGATTAGTACTCTTGTCATTGACCGTAAAACAGTTACAGGAATCACCAACCCGTCGATCTTGGAAGCATTTTAAGTCGATCGAGTTTCCAAAATCAGAGAAAAAAAAGCCTATTGTGTGTGTAGTAAGTGTGTCTAGGGGATGAGGAGGCGCGCGCGCTGTTACAATCACGTCATTTTTGCCGCACGCACCTTTGGGGTCATGCGGACGTGTCGAGTTTAAACAAGGCTTTACGCTTTAACCAGCTCAGCCACAGTAACAGCTCATATTAGCCAGCTAAACTTTTACTACCCTGTTAGAAAAAATATATAGTTGCATACTTTCATGTGGTTCTTCTCCCTCGCTGTATTATGGGTTTGCTATGTAGGGAGAATGTGCTGGTTACGTTCGTGAGACAATCAGCTGATTACTATTATTATATTATGTATTAAGACCCTTGATCCTCACCTGAAATTTTATCCATGATGTGGTTTATAATGGACTGTGATTAGAAACTTGGCTTACTCTGGCTATTCTCTGCTGTCTCAGACGACGATGTTTGTCCCGTTTTAGCCACCGTAGCTTCTTCGAAAGGGAGGGGGGTGAGCGGTGGGCTGAGCCCTTAGTGTAAACTCGCAACCGAACCGCTAGATGTCGCTAAAAATCACACACTGGACCTTTAACTGTTGTGCAAATGTTAGTGATGTGAGAAATGCACCAAATCGACTGAGAAAAGCTGTAAATCAATAAGAAATTAAAATCTGATGTGAACAAGAAACTAATTGTTCTGAGATCTGAACCTATTTTTTGAGAGAGAAAAAAATTCTAATTTGAGAATTGAGCCAAAGCGATTAAAAAAAACTTTCTTGAAATGTCCACTAGAGGGCAGCACACTCCTCAATGGACACCAAGTGGATGCGAATGCAATTATGGGGTCAAGCTTTGGCTCGGTATAGCATAGGCTATCCCCTGCTCGTTGTCAAGCCTGTCAGTATGAAACAAACTTTTCCTTGTCTGCTGCCTTTCACTTTCGCTCAGGATAGTAGCTAGTGAAGGTACTTGAATGAGAGATTATATGAGAATGCTAATTGATAGCTTTCTTCATGCTTAACATAATGAAGCATTTGCTAAACTGTTGTTAGAAGTGCCTTAACTGCTTTAAGGTGGTCGCTGTTGTTTAGCCCAAATGCTTTCAAAACTAGTCACCAGACCAGCATGACCAGGCTGGAACTACGACCAGCAAACCAGTTGAGGATGATTTAATATCTTTTTTTTCTTCAAGCAGGGAAAACAAAATAAATATATTCCATTTTACAATTAATTTTCCAGGTTAAGCCTACTTCTAATAAATCAACATTTATAACTTAAAGATAAAGTGACAGGTTTACTGTAGGCCTATCAAAAAAAAAAAAAAAAAAAAAAAAAAATGCAATAAAGAAAAAAACATGTTTTGGAATACCTTCCTTTATTATTAAAATCTCAAAGTTGTAAAGGCAATTTGAGGAACAAAGCAAGCAAGAAAAAGCAATAGCAATTATTCATATTTTTCTTGGCATGGATACTTGACATCTTTTGTCTTTAGAACAATTACCTTATTTCAACTAATAATGATTTTAGTTAAAGTTGGGGTTTGATCAACACTGATAAAAAAAAAGTTGTGGGATAGTAAAAACTAGAGAAACATTTTAATTTGTTCATGTAATTTACATGCAAAATGTAATTCAGGCAAGAATTTAAAAACTAAGTAAATTATATATTAGTACTCAATTCAAGCATGTAGAAATTAAAGCGTACATATCAACATTAGAAAATTAAGTAAAATTACTCAACTTTTCTGTTCCTCATGTTCCCATCATGCACTGGGCCCTGAATAATTAATGAGGTTGATTTTTCACTGGTTTTCAGCTGTATTTACACTGTTTCATATTGCTTGTGTTGTTAGGATTAGTTATTTTTAGGATTAGCCATTTTGTGACATTTGGAGTTTATTTTCCACTCAAAATGACACATTCAAACACAAAAACGATCCATCATATGTTACCGTCATTGTGTATTGTCTACCAAGTATTGAGGTTCACGTGACACGTGACATACAATTCCTAATGTATAGAATATATAATGCATTTATTACTAAGATATTTCTATGTAAAGCATATACTTTAAAAGTGTGGTTTAATTTAATGTTATATTGTTTTAGTGAAATGTATTGCAAAGAAAACTTCAACTGAATAGATGTTACTCTTAAAATTAAAGTTAAAATTACTTATTTCCTTTGTTACTTTCACTCAACTTAGTTAAGTAGTGTACTTAATTCCATACGTGGAATTTACTTAAAAATATGCGTGTGAAATTTACTTAAAAAATATTTGTGCAAAAACTTGCCAAAGAAAAATTAAGTAATTATTGTTTTTGTTTTTTTTCAGTGAAGTCACTTGATCATTTACACGAAAGACACAAAGTTGACTAGTGCCAAGTCAAGATCATGGATTTTAGATAAGTCATGATATTACAGAGTAATATGGACACCGATATCTTCACATACTATCATTATCAATATGTGATAACCTCATTGACAGTGGCCTAAATAACATTTGTGTATAAGAGAAATGTTATGCCTAGTAAGTGATCCAGTTTGTACCATTGAAAAAAACAACACAATAATGATTGTCATGCATTCTGAAACAACATAATTCACACAATTAAAGGTTTTATATAGATGGAAAAATACTGTTTAATCCTTCAGGGCTCAGCATATTTGTATGTGTTGTCCTCTGATGATTTGCAAAACATCCTCTGGACTGAATGCATGTACATTATGGATATAAGCGGCAAATGTACTGATGGATTAAGGGCTGATTAATACAGAGCAACAGAAGTTAAAGCAATGTCCTGTTTACACTCAGAAGTGTACTCTGTTTGAAGGAATGTCTTGGGGAAACTTCCTTTTTTGTTGTATACTCAGTGCCTGAAATAAAATATGAACAAAAAACATCTAATTAGTTGCAAATCTGCAAGACAATGAGTTAAAAAATAATAATTTTACCAAGGTTCTTTTTTATCTGTTCACCTTTTTCTTGGCTTTATCAATTGATAATCCTTTAGCACTTAGAGCAGCTATCTTGTTCTCAATGTCTGAGACCTGATAGATAAATAAATAATTAATATCTACAGATAGATAGATAGATAGATAGATAGATAGATAGATAGATAGATAGATAGATAGATAGATAGATAGATAGATAGATAGATAGATAGATAGATAGATAGATAGATAGATAGATAGATAGATAGATAGATAGATAGATAGATAGATAGATTTTTTGGAATGTATAGCTCACCTCACTTTCTGTGCTCTGAACTTTAGTGGCTGCCAAAGAAACCTGGTCCTCCAGTTCAGAGAGTTCTGAATCAATAAACGGGCCGCTGTTGTTGGCATTCTGTTCAATCATTTGCAACTTTTTTGCCATATCAAAGGACTTCCCTGCAGTCAGGTACACCTGCAGTAACGAAGAAAGAAAGAAAAACTACAGCAAAATTCAGTTCTGAACAAATCTTAACAAATCGAGTGATATAAAACCGATTGGTCGAAGAGTCTAATCTCTCTCCTTCAAACAAACATAACAGTATCTATAAGAGGGATAAGCTTACATTTTCCTCAAGTTCCCTGTACGCATCATCGGCATGCTTAACATCTGTGCCCGCTAACTGAAGTCTGTCATTAGGATTTGAGTGGGCCAACTCGTTCATAGCGCTTTCAGTGGCATTAATTGTTCTTAGAATCTCAGTTGTGATGTCGCATAGGGCCGCCGCGGTGGATCTCTGAAAGCCATGTAGAGGGAACAGTAATTAACCGAGAGGAGAGAAGCCTCATCAGCATTAAAACCCTAAACAAATACTGTAGAGAGGTTTTAGCATTGCTGAGATTATAGCTAAATGAGGCATAAGTGTCGTATGGTCTTTGGATAAGATACGGATTAGTTATTAAAATAACTCAGGGGAACTACGAATGTCTTTGAGATGTTTCTTCGGCTATACTAATAAAAATGCTAGAGCTAAACTCAGTATTTTAAGATTATTAGGAGATAGTTAACCCAAACATTTTAATTCAGTCATCATTTTATTCATCCTCATGTCGTTCCAAACCTCATAAGACCTGAAACCCTCCCTTGAAAGTCCAGGTAACCAAACCTTCATCATATAAAACAATTAACAAGACTTGGATTAAACTGCTCAGTTTATATGGATTCCTTTTACGGTGCCTTATGAGCTTTTTGGATCCTCTAAGTTTTGGTAACCAGGACTTTCAATGGAGAGACAGTAACATCTCGGCTTTCATTCAAAAATATCTTAATTTGCTTTCCGAAGATTAACCAAAGGCTTATGGTTTGAAATGGCATGAGGGTGATGACAGAATTTTCTTCTTTTTTTCGAGCGTTCTACAATGTTACCGATAATATGGGAAACCTGCGGAAAGTTATGTGACTTTTAATACCATATTCCACTAATAGACTGATAATGAGACATTTGAATCTGCATTAGCTGTTCTATATAAAAAATTATTGTAAGGCTTTTTTTTTTTATCAGAGATGCTTCTCAGGAAAACCTTACCTTGGACAAAGACAGCATCTCCCATAGATTTTTGGACTCTATATGGATATGTGTGTTGTCTGTGTACTCACCTTTTGTGCTTCAGTGGGCATTTCATCACTGGAGGAGCTCAAGGGTTCTTGGGACACGGGGGCCATCGGTGCCTGGTCCCCCCTCACAGTGGACCCTCTGGACTTAGGAGGTCTCTTCGGCTCATCTTCATCAGAGGAAAGCGCCTTGTCGCTCAACAGCTCATCTAGTTTTCGCCTAAGCTTCACCTCGTCCATCTGCCCAGCTGTGGGCTGAACAGGCTAAACATGCAAAATGAGTAGTTTTTTTTATTAAAATCATGAGATATTGACCTACATGAAACCTTTTAGAATAATAAGAAATACTGGAGCTACATTTCTGTTTTGAGACTTTATTCATACCTGATCAGAAGGCGAAGTCATTTTCTCTTCCAGTCGATTCAAAAGACTCTCAATGGCAGACATTCTCTTGCTCAGTTCATTGATCTACCTCACAGCAACATGTGAAAGAAAGGAGGAAAAAATCATTGGTTAAGTTGACTTTAATATACAGATTGAGCAAATGATGATTTGAACAAGGTAGCCACTCACTCCTAACCATACTTTTGTCTAACTCAGCTTAAATAGGAAGAAAACACAGTTTCTTGTTTTATGTGACATCTGAAATAAATCTTTCTACAAATACAGACAAACAGGAAGTAACTGAAACTAATCTTACCTACAGTAATGATTGGTTAAAAGGTGCAATAAAAACAGTACTTTTAAAAGATACGCTACTGTCTCATGCTCATAAATACAGAATAAATAAATAAAACTGTGAAATATTATTACAATTTAAAATACAGGTTTCCATTTTAATATATTACAAAATGTAATTTGTCACACCTGCCAGCTGCGAGTGCCCTTGAACGCCAGCAGAGGGCACTCTTACCGCTCACTCTACCACTTTCATGGACTCAATTTCCCACAGTGCTTTGTTTGTCATCAATGTAATCATGTGAAGCTGTTCCTCATCACCTCATCGCCTCTCTTTGTCTATTTGCCTATTTATGCCTGTACAGTTGTTTGTATTGTGGCAAAGTCTTTTCTATACAGCATTACTGAGTCTTTCCCCTGTTTATGTTCCTGTTTTTTTAAATCTGCCTGTGTCCTGGTTTTCTCGTTCCTGTCTTGCACTCCGGATTGGTTTGTTTGATTGGAATGGACTGATTTACGGTGCTCTGATCTTCTGCCTGTTTAATGGACAACGACTTTGGATTGTGTTACCAATAAAACTGCATTTGGATCTTCTTTCGTTGTGCTCAGTGCTGTCTACAACCAAATCACAACACCTGTAATGGCAAAAGCAGAATTTGCAGCAGCCATTACTGTCTTAGTGGCAAATGATCCTTCAGAAATCAATGTGCTGATTTTGTGCTCAAATAATATTTCTTATTATTATCACAGCTGTAAATGGTTGTGCTGCTTAATATTTTTTGTGTGAAACCATGGATGCATTGTTTTCAGGATTCTTTGGTGAATAGAAGGTTCAAAAGAACAGCATTTATTTGAAATAGAAAATGTCTAACAATGTAAAAATCTTAACTGCTCATTTTAATCAATTCAATTTGCCCTTGCTGAATTAAAGTTTTTATTTAGCAAGGGAAATATAAGAACAAAAAATTCTTTATTTTCATGAGGTGAAGAACCAGGTCATATCAGTAGCCTGATGGGAGTCACCTTGTTGAAATCACATGACCAGCTGAAAACAACTAATTTTGTCTCAGTAACCTCCCTAACCTAGAATACTTCCTCTAATTGTGAATAGTGCATTTTTTGCAATGCCATCTGGAAACATTTATGCACTTTTAAGTATAACTATATTTCAAATGCCTCTTAAAAGTCTCTTTATCATACCGGTGGTGGTCCCTGTTGAATGTTTTCCTGAGATGATGCTCGACTGCGGCGTCGCGGGGGCAGCTGGTAGACAGGGTAACGAAACATATCTTCCTCCTCTGAAGTGTCCAGGTAGATCTGGCGCGGAGCCACGGAAGAGTTGATTTTAGAGAGAGAGCGAGCGCGTACCATTCTGTGTTCAGAATACAGTCCATCATCTACAACAAAAATGAAGAGGATAAATTAGTTAATTTGCTTAATGCTGTTTAATGCTAAACTCCATCTAAGTTCTCCTGGTGACTGTCTACGCAGTGCATCCTATGTTATACAACACGTAACTGAACCAATATCAAAAAACAATATATGATTTGTAATACTTAAACCTCTTAACCCACTTAACCTTGACCTTGATCACTTGATCAACATTATGCGCAACATAATTACAAATGTTATTTTCAAAAATGTTATGTCAGTGATCCACAGATGCTGGATTACAAAAAAAAATAAAAAATTCAGTAGAAACATGCAAAATTGCATACATATGGTTTCTTTAAAAATGATGTGTGGGATAAGCTACACATTTAAAATACATAAAAAATGTAAATATATTGCATAAAAAAGATTTAACATAATAGTCATGATCCTGGCCTGTGTTCCATTGGTCTTGTTTGTACTTTTATGTTACTTCCTGTTCTTCGCCATGTTTTGTAGTTCTTTGTAGTTTTACTAGTGGATTAGTTCTGCAATCACTCCCACATGTGTCTTGTTTTCCTATTGCTCCTCTAGTATTTATACCCAAGTGTTTCTTGTGTTCTTTGTCGAGTCTTGTCCTACATGGCTGTATGTTTTTATGAGCTCATTCTGTTCCCTGCATATGGATCCAACATTCCCTCGTTTTTGAGCTTACCTGTGTTACACATTTACTTAAAATATTTGAAAATACTGTACATTCTGTGTATATTCTGAGACTCTGATTAAGAGTATTATTTTAGAATTAATAATATTGTATAGACATAGACAACATTAATATTCTTTATGTATAATCTGAAAACTTTGTGAATCTGCAAATTATTTTATGATGAAATCTACGCCAGATTTTACTTGAAGTCCCTGATATGTGATCAGTTTTTTACTCCATCCAGCAGCAGTTTGTGTGAATGTGTCTATTTGTGAAAGAAATGAGGAAGAGAAAGAACGTCCTTTCTTCACCTGGGCGTGAAATCCTGTCGAGACTTTTCCTGCGGTTCATGCGATGCTGATGGTGATGGTACATGTCAGAATTGTATTCTAGATCATTCCGCAGACCTCTCTCTTCATGGATGTACTGAAGAAGAGAGAAACGTGTTTATAATGCCTGAGTACCCCTTACAAATGTGGATGTTGATACAATAGTGAGAACCATATCAATACCTGGACAGACTGTCTGCGAGAGTGAGTGGCATAGTCGTCCATGTCAAGATCCATGGGGTGCACAGAGAGTAGACGCTTGGTCTTTCGCATCTGAGAGGAAGTCACAACAAGTTCATAGAAGACAATATGAGGAACAGAATACTGGTTTAAGATACTTTTGTTATCGTAATTGCGCAATTTAAAATATTCCCAATGCTTTTACATAATGATTCTAAAATATTAATCCCAGGGATTTATGAAATATACAGTAATGTATAATAATGTATAGTAATGCAATGGCATTCAACTGCAACGGAAGCATCATGCCCATTTAAATGTGTCACCTCAGATTTATGAACAAAGTGGATTTTGAATGAAAAAAAAAGTATCTTCAATAATTAAGTTGTAGACTTAAAATATGTTTGTCTCGAACTCTGCGGCAGAAATCCCCTTTTATGTATTTAAGTATAAAAATACGTAAAATATATATTACATAAAATATATAGGACTATATATTGTGGCATACTAAGAATATACTATTTAAGTCATAGTAAGGAAGGCCATTTCCGCCACAATAAAAGAAAATCTTTGATACACCATAATTATGATGTAAAAAGTAAAAATTATGACATTAAAAAGTTTTTGTCTTAATTATTTTTCCCTAATATGTCATAATTTTGAGTATCACAATTCCAACATTTTATCTCATAAGTAGTATATCATAATTTCAACGTTGGCAACACTATTTCAATAGTCCACGTAAGGAACCGTGTAACTACATGTCATCTACCAGTCATTGGAGTATTAATAGACTGTCTGCTCAATATCTGCAAACACTGTATTGTGATGATGGTCCTCCAACAGACAGTCTACTGACTATAGCTTTGCAAGTACATGTTAACTTATTCTACTAACACTAACCTAGCAGTCTACTGATACTCTAATGAGACTTAATTGACATGAAGTTGCAAATTAACGAGTTAGTTGACATCGTCTAGCCATTAAGCCTAGTCCCACAAAAGTTCATTACTGAGCTGTTTTAACTGAAAGCTACTAACTAACATATCTTAAAATATGTCAGTGCCATAAGTTGTCTCAAGATGCACACTAGTTGTGATTTTTTACTAAGGCTCATTAGAAAAGCTACTTAAATGTCCTAATTGTACTAAAGCCTAATCCTGTCTTAATCTAAACCCTGTTTGTGAAACCAGGCCATGTAATTGCAAAGTTACTTATGGTTAGTAGACTGACTAAAGTGGGCAACCGCATCGCTTCTGGTTCCAGTTCAGGGGCCTCATGTATCAACACTGCGTACGCACAAAAACACGGCGTACGTCAGCTTTCACGTTCACGGCCAGATGTACTAACAGTGAAATTAACGTAAGAATGTGCGTTCCTCCAAGTAAACTTCATGTCTGGCGTACGTATATTTGTCGTGATTTTTGTCCGTTGGCGACTCATAGAGGCAATAAAGTGAAGTGGCAAACATTACACTACGAATTGTTCTATCGCACCACCAGCTGTCAGATATTGCTTATAATTTGTAATTGATAAATTATTTGACATATTATTGTCACACGAGTCATATTAAAATATTCTATTATGCAATTAAGTAAGAACATATATAAAGCATGTGCAAATTGATGCAACCCGTCTAGCAATGGCAGTGTTGGCTTAACTAGGAATAAAAAATAAACTTCATTAATTCGGTCAGTAAAGATAAAAAAAAAGAAAGTAAAATTTTTATTCAGCAAGGACACATTGAATTTGTTTAAAAGTGAGAGTAAATGCATTTATAATGTTACATAAGATTATTATAAGATTTCTATATCTGTTTGATTTAAGTTTTTATTCATTAAAGAATCCTGAAAATACTATATCACGGTTTCCACGAAAATATGAAGCAGAAGCACTGATAATACTCAAAAATGTTTCTTGATCATCAAATCATCATATTAGAATGATTTCTGAAGGATCATGTGACACTGAAGACTGGAGAAATGATGCTGAAAATTCAGCTTTGATCACAGGAATAAATTACACTTTACTATATATTTACATAGAAGACATTTTCAGTGAAATTTCGTTTCTTGCTTGCTTTAGCCATGTTCTTGCAGGTTTCTTTTGACAAATTGGACTAATTACCATATTTAAATTAATTTAATTGGGGGAGGAGACTGGGTGGGGCGTTGTGCTCGTGCATGTGCGCTCAATTTTACGTTAATTGGGATGTACAAAGAGAATATGCGTGGTATCCTTCGTACGCAGAGATTCATACATCTGCTTTTTTTTGTGCGCACGCACATTTACAGCTTTGTCCGTACGCAATGTTTTAGTATGAATTCAACGCAAGTCTTTGTACATGAGGCCCCTGGTCTTTTGACTTTTATCTCACAAATATGAATTAGTTTCTTATAACATCTACCATTTATCTCATAATTGTAATTTAGCATCTCATAATTATGACATTTTAAATTAAACCAGGATCAGGCCTTAGTTAAATTGGGATATTTTAGAAGCTTTTATAAACAAACAAAAAAACATTACTGGTGTACATCTACAAAGTTTTGCAGATACAAAACAATGGCACTGACATATTTTATGTCACTAGGTTAAGCCTTGTCTGTGAAACCAGGGTATGATGTCATAATTGTTATATACCATATAGGAATAGTTTTTTTTTTTTTTTTATGTGGCAGAAATGGCCTTTCATAGGGTATTGGTTCCCTACACAAAAACTGTACCAATAGACTAACACACTAAGCACAAAAACAGTGATTTACTAAGTTGTTAAAAATAGTTTTTTTTTTTTAAATGATGCTTTATTTCACCTTGTGAAAGCCTTGAAAAATGCTACTGAAATGTGAATTAAAATACCAAACAATTTAATCTACCTGCTTATAGCGTTGAGCTTCAGCAGCATCCATATTTTCTTCATCATGACCATTACACACATCTAAGAATAAAACACATTATATATTACAGTGGTGCACAATCAAAAGGGATTCCATGGTTTCAATATGGATCCTTCAACAATGCTTGGTCAAATGCCCTCAGCTCTACTCTGTGACAACACCATCTATAATGCTTCCTGTTTTCTTCACAACGCCATGAATGTGTTTTGTACTCACTGCGCACATCAGGCATGCTCTGTGTGTCATCATCACGTTGCCCTAAAGAAATAAAGACAACAATGTAAATGCTGGTCTTGTGTAACACAAAGGGAAAATCTGACATTCCTTAAGGACTATTTAACTCAGGCACTCAGACAGATTACAATATGTGGAATCTAAGCCTCCATTTGTGCATTCAGCCAAGGTTTCTAATTTTTCTGTTTAACATGTCCTGTCGCGCAAGGCTATAAACAACATCAACAAGTTATACAGCGCCCCAGACACAGCATGTGACCCTGTTGTGGCCTCAGCACTGCTGGGACAGTCTCTGGACAGAGTTCTTTGAATTCAAAAGACAGATCAACAAATCCTTTTGGTAACTTAATACACATAGACATAACAACGATTACACATGGTCTAACTATTTGCTGTCTCTTGCTGTTGTTCATCTGAAAATCAGTATATACAAGCTTTACATACAGTATTTATGTTATACTAATTTTTTTTTTTTTTTCATTTCTTCATTTAGCAGGTGCTTTTATCCGATGTGACCTATAAGATCGGGGGACTCTAATTAACTATCTGTCCCTAGAACTAGACTTAAAAATAGGGGTGATCGTGCATTTGCAGTCATCGGCCCTAAGCTATGGAATAGTTTACCGGCTTACATCAGATCCGCACAAACTTTGTCAATTTTTAAATCAACTTTGAAAACGTATTTTTTTCAATAGCTTTTAATATATTGTGATTTTTTATTTATTTTTTTATCTTTTCATTTGTTTTCTTTCTTATTGTTTGTTTTCTTGGCCTTGTAAAGCACTTTGGTCAACTCCAGTTGTTTTTAAACGTCCTATACAAATAAAATTGTATTGATTAAGGTAATACTTTAGTTTAGGACTTGTAAAGCCTTATTCTGCATGACCATATTCTACATCCCCTAATACTACCCAATTCCTATCCAACACCTTACTCAAAACTACCTTACTAACTACCCAATACCTTACCTTACCCAATACTACCTTACTAACTACCCAATACCTTACCTTACCCAAATACTACCTTACTAACTACCCAATACCTTACCTTACACAATACTACCTTACTAACTATACCTCACCTTACCCAAATACTACGTTACTAACTACCCAATACCTTACCTTACCCAAATACCACCTTACTAACTACCCAATACCTTACCTTATACTACCTTACTAACTATTACGAAGCAGTAATTAGGAGTTTATTGAGGCAGAATTCGTAGAATTGGACCCTAATCTAAAGTGTGACCGACTATACAGTTAAAATTTCTATATACAATATGTTAAACTGAAATCAATATTTCATATCCACACATTTGTTTATTTAGAGAGTAGCTGTGTACTAAGTGGGATAATGTACAGTCAGCCAGTCATTGTTGCAAAATAAACCCCTTCAGGATGATACAAGAGCCCTCTATTCTGAGGCCCAATCACCATGCCAAGGTTTATTTTGCGATAACTGGCTAGCTGTACATTATCTCTTACTTAACACTCCCTTGCTCGCACAAGCACTTAAAATGACTGGTGATACTGAACCAGTATGAGGATGTGACAGCAATGTGTACACAATAAAGGTTATCAGGGGGCTTTTAATAGCACTCACCATCTTCATTTAATCTCTTGTACAGTGACCTCATTACTTTTGCACTGCCAAAACGCTTGAAGCGAGAGTGTACATTGTCATGGTACCACCCCAAGGTTCCAATTTTTAGGACCCTGGATAAAAAAAAAAAACAGGTGCTATGTATAGATTTTATTTATAAGTGATTAAATATTCACATTACTTTATAGAAGTAAGTGTACTAAGTGTATAAGCTTTAAACTCTGAGAAAAGAAAAAATGTTCTAACCTGGACATGCGGCAGGGGTCGCATACCCAGCCACGCTCTTTCTTGTTGTAGCGGCTGCAGGTCTTGCAGGTGTAGAGTTTGCAGTCTATACACTGCCGTTTACTGTTCACCAGGAACTTAAAGGGCTGCAGGCAGCGGATACAGTGAGAGTCAGCCAGATTTGACTGAGATCCCAGGAGTTCCCTCTTTGTTTCCTCCTTCTCAATCTTGGATTTAAGCTCCCTGCAATGTAATATAAATAGACAGAGCCTTTCAGAATGTCTCAGCATAATGACATACATGACTAAAGCTTTGAGCTCAGGCTTTGAGGGGTGAGAATCGGGCTGCTTTTTTTTTTCTTTTTTTTGCCAGGTTTGGCTTAGCCCTCAATTAAAAACATTAAAAATAATTAAATATAAATCATTGACAAACAAACTCTGATCCTTGTGCAGGACACATAATGTTCATAGGGATGCACAATACACTGTGTTCCAAATTATTATGCAAGTGACATATCATTAGGATTTTATACAGTACACATTCAGATTTAATTTTTTCAAAGAAAGTGTTTGTTTTTTTATATCATTTTAGATAACTGGTATAAATCACAGACAGGTTTGTTAAATAGTTTAAAGCATCTTAAGAAATGCGTAGTTTATTCCAAGTGCGCTGTCTCCTTTTTTCTGGGGCATGAGCGATGACCCATTAACAAATGAATCTGAGCCCCTACTAAGGAAATCTTCCATCTTGGCTTCTAAAATGTTTTTCTCTGGAATGTACCTGTGTTTCAAGTTTGGACATAGCAGCAGACTTATCTACTCAGTTAATCTACTCTACCTCTGTAGAAGTTCCTTGGAACTTTAACATGCTTTGACTAACAAATAAAAAAACAGTAGGCGTAACTATGTTTATTATCCAATAAATGACCATATGTAAAACTGGCTCTTTGCAGAAACAGAAACTGTAGTGCTTGGATTGGAGATTGAGGAAGTTAAAGAGAGCTGGAGACGTGCACATCAATACCCGATAAACATGAAGACGGTGGCCTTTCTTTGTTTTAGTTTCTTATATTTTAGGTAAGGTCTTTTACTTACATGATACATCAACTTTGGCATGAATACTGAGTTTTGATTTAACACCCATACTTTGGACAATCCAATAATTAAAAAAAACACTTAATTTCTAAAACAAATGGGTATCTTAATATAATGGCCATTCCTTGATTTTATCAGGCCTTTTGCTAATCAGAAATGTCTGATAAATTGAATTGAACTCTCTGGTTTGACAACAATTACCTCTTTATTAACCCTGTTGTTAAATAATTCAGTTTGGTAATGGTTTGTGCATGTAACAGGTACACACTCTGTAGCTGCCCCAGTAACGATTTGGAAATTACATCTGTGGAAGATGTTTATGAATTTCTCTGGGAGAACAACAGTGTCATTGCCTTTGAGACACTCCGAGTAGACTTCCTACAACAAATGCAGAGTGGCAGTCTCCAGGCAGAGCGATACATAAGCTTCACCATGCAAGACATCAACTACATACTGACTGTGACGAAAATGTTGAAGGAAATGAGTGAAAAAGAAATCCAGCCGGATGACCTCAGGGACTTCATAAAAGGCAGATACTTAAGTTATAAAAAATATACTGACTTAATGCTTGAAAGATTTTCTTTTAAGGTAAGAACAGAAAACAAAGACTAAACTTTCCAAATGTTTCTGAATTTATTGAAGGTGTTTTATACTCTCATTTCCACAGGATGCGCCTGCCATTCAGCAAACTCCAGCTATGACGAAGTATCTGTCGTTCTACAGAGAACTAATGGAAGATCCACTGGACTTTGCTGTGGGTCTTCTGCCTTGCGCCAGACTTTGGGTCTGGCTGGGTAAAAATCTCAAAACACCTCAAAATAATGCATACTACAATTGGAAGGTGGAGAATATGGACGGCCACCCTGAGAAGCACTACAAAGCTCTGCTGGACAAGCATCTGGACACATATGAAAAAGTGGAGAAGGCCAATAATATATTCCGTGAACAGATGCGAAATGAGCATGATTTCTTTTACTCATCTTGAGTGGTTGATGGCTGGTAAGTAGTTCTGAAGTTTTTCTACCAGTATAAAAAGGAATCCCATATAATATGAAAAAAATAAAATATTTGCATGACTTGCCACTCTTGAAAGTAATCAGAAATCCTATTGATGGTTATCCATGGCATATATTCTGTTTACTCATGTTTGATTGTATTTCATGTTTGATTATTCATCTTTGATTGTAAGGTTGTAGAAGAACAAAATTCAAGGAGATGTTTTGTTTTATGAAAACTATGTAGGGGAGATCATTGAGACAGGGATGATTGTAATATTGTTAGCTTTTACCATCTGTAACTTAAGTGTGTTATGTATCTCAAGCGTTGATATCATTGTCTCTGCTACAAATTAGTTGTTTTGGAATTTACAACTTGTCCTTAAAATGTGAAAGTGAATGTTAAGTACAATGAGTGATGTTGTTGCAACCTTCCCCACTATCAGGGTGGCAAGGCAAGTGTATTTGTATAGGACATTTCATACACTGTGGTATTTCAAAGTGCTTTACAGAAGAAGAAAAAAATAGCAATCATAAAACAATTCATAAGAAATAAAAAAATACAATAAAATAAGTAAAAAAAAAGATTAAATGAGTTAAAATGAGATATGATTATGTGGGTAAACCTTTACTTTAACTCAAGTACATTTCTAATGAAATGAAAATGAAATTTTACTTTGTTTCACTGGGTGATGTTCCTCTTTATACTTTATTTTAAAGAGGTTGTTCCACATTAAGCAAGTCACAGTTCTGCAATATGATGAGGAAGTAAGATATTTCTTATGACGAGCATATAAAAATGGTGCAATGTCTTGCAAAAGGCATGAAAACAACTAATATTTTGCATAAACTGACTAGAGATCATCGAACTGTCAAAAGATTTGTGAGTGATTTAGAGCAGAGAAGAACTCTGTCATTTAAGGCTTATTAAAAAAAGGTTTCTGTCAATCAAATCAAAATAATTGTATTAAAAGGGAAGCTATAACAAAAAGCCACTTTTGAGCAGAAAACTCAAGTTGTCCATAAAGTTGCATTTCAGCCACCTCTAACCAAAGCTTGCAAAGAGAAACATTTACATTTACAGCTCCCCTGTGTAGTTCACTCACAGGGGAGCAGTTGAGTTCAACATTCAATGACAGTTCAACATTCTCTATTCAGTTTTTGCTATATATTAGTTGTTTTTATGCCTTTTAAAAGACATTTAGCCATTTCATGCTCCCTTCAAAACATTTGCAACTGCTTTTTTATCACTTAATTAGAAGCATCACTGTCAAAGATGCAGTCTAGAGTTCTTTGAATCAACACATGGAGGACGTTAAATGCCAGTTTCACTTAATTTTCAATTCTCCCAAGCCAGGAAAGTGCCAGGTGCTCACAGGTGCCAAAACATTTTTTTTTTAAATCAATATACAAAACAATAACCTTGGAGCAGGTATTACAATTCAATCAGAGTACTCTGCAGATACTACACTCACTACCACCAGTCACAAAAGAAAACCTTTTTTTCCCCTTGACCACTTCCTTATGTGAGCATTTATACCCATGGGTAGCTACTACCATTTCTCAGCAATCATAACATGGGGAATGTCAAAAACCATGAACATGTGTTAAAGGTCAAATAACCCAATTTCATTCAACACACACATTTAAATACACAGCACACACTTCAGTTCAACACTAATTATAAAAAGTATAATTATTATTATACCAATCAACCATTATACACCAACACCTTCATCAAACAATTTCCCCCATACTTGGTATCTCCCACTCCCATGAGGCAACACAGCACATGTACAAAAAGCCTGACAAAAGTCCATTCCAGTCTTTTACTCAAATCAAGATGGCCGCCACCATGTATGCTGATCCAGGTGATAGTCAACAGTTTGTAACAAGCTTAAATGTCCACGAATAGTGATGGCAAAATGAGGCTTCCTGAACCACTGAGACCTCACAGCCCATTGCTTCACCCAAAGGTTCATTACTCGAAGCTTCATTCAGCATTGCTCACTAGTGACACCTATAGCTACTGTACAAAGAAGTAATTATTAATTAATTCTGAACCAATGACCTGAGCAGACTTATGATGTCCGTATAGCCCCCAAATCCAAAAGGGCAATCCAAAACAAAGCAATCCACTCCAGGTCCAAAAATCCAAAGCAATCCAAATAATGTTATCTAATTAATATAACAAGACTATAATATAGCTACTATAATTATTAATAACAATATACTATAAGTATTCTAACCTGATATAATGTAATAATATACAGCCCTAACACATATATGACACAATAACAACAATGCCAATGAGATTTCTCTAACTCTCTGACACTGCTACACCTGCTTCTACTACTCCTGCAACACCCAGAAGGTGGGGCGAGTTTCGAACCCCCTTTATCCGGAAGCGACACTCAGACTGAACCGATGACGTTTTCACACAAACCGAGGCCTCGTTTGTCATTAGTCACGTGATTTTCACGTAAACAACACAAGCCTCGAATCGGGGCTTCATCTGGCACACCCATTTTTTCTCGACACAAGCTCCGATGCCTCAGTTCAAATGTCACATCACTATCCACGAGGTTAGTGCTCAGGTGGCCAGTCTGACGCACAACAGTCTTGTTGTAGGTGTGTGTTTGGGTGAATGTGTGTGGAAGCCATCTCTCACTTTGCAGGTACCTCAAGGTAAATAAAGATTTTAAAAACCCAAGTATGTGTTCCGGTGATTCTAGACAGGGCTAACAAGGGGAACACAGGGAACAGAGGTCAGCTCTGTGACAACCACAATTAAAAAAATGAGTAAGAATAAGTACATAGTAAGTACATGGGTAACAGGACTGTAAAAGGAAGCGTACCTCAACCAAGATTTTTTTGGTCTGGTCTCAATGATTACAACAAACTGATGCGCTGTGTAGAAAATGCTTTGGGAACGCCCCTGCACGATTGCGTCTGAAGCACGTATGTCAACTAGTCCAATGGCGAGAGTGAGCGTCATGGGCGGGTGACGTCACGACCAGGAAAGGATAAAAGCACATCCGATCTGACCGGCGTTAGCTTCTGTGCCTCAGCAAGCGCTCTATGTCGAAACTGTCTGTCTATTTATTGTTGTCTTGTCACAAGCATTTCTATCTATATCATGGCAAAAGTTGTGTGCTTCTCCCTGCCCGCACAATTTAACGGGTGGGGATACACCTGATTTATGTGTAATATGTTTGGGAGCAGAGCATGCTATGTCAGCCTTCGAGGGGGCTGACTGTCAGCATTGTGAGAGGCTTCCGCTTCGCACGCTCCGCTCTCGCCTGTCACTTTTTGAGGAAATTGGCCAGTCTCGCAATCCTCAGGGATCCGGACCCGCTGCTGCTGAGGCAGCACAGAGAAGGCATTTTTGGGGATCGCAAAAATGGATCTCTCGGCGGGGTTAGAGACGGGCCCCGCCCTTTCTCTCCCCTTACCCGAGGGATCCAGCGCTCTCTCACCGGTGTCGGAAGCCCGCCCGGCGGCTTCTTCCACCTGGGAAGAGAGCCCAATGCTTCAGTGCTCTAGTTCCAAGGAACTAGATGTATTGAGTGTTGAAAGTGACAATAAGAGGGAAGAGGATTCGCCAACTCTTTCCGCAGCATATGAGGAGCTGGTGGAGGTGATTAAATTAAATATTGAGTGGCCGACCGAGAAAAGGGGTTTTCGTCCTAAAAGTAAACTAGATGAGCGCTTCCTGTCATCAAATGTATCACCTCCATCACGGGGTCTTCAATTTTTCCCGATCTACACAGGGAGCCGTCTAGATGTATATTCCAATAAGGGGGCTGAAAGAATATGAGGCGATGCCCAGGGCTGAACAGACGCTAGTTAGCTATCCCCTGGTTCCGCATCGTCCCCGAAGGCCTCAGTGCTACCCACTAAGCCACTCAAATCTACATCTAATTTAGTGGGTAAAGCATAAACAGATGCCTACATAAAATGTCAGTGTTACAGGCATATCAGGCTGATCTGCTAGGGGATTTTGATAAGAGCGAGGGGGTAGGACCCGACGAAGTTCGAGATCTGCGTCGGGCCACAGATCTGTCTCTCAGGGCCACCAAGGAGATGGCAGCCCTGGTGGCCACTGAGAGGCACCTTTGGCTAAACCTGGCTGAAATAAAGGACAAAGACAGAGCCTTTTTATTAGATGCCCAGTTAACGCCTCAACGCCATCATGGTGACTCTGTGAATACGGTCGTCGAGAGGTTTCAGGATGCCAAAAGACAATCTGAGGCATTTAAAGAAATATCTCCCTCTCCGTACCCAACCCCCTGGGGCTGCTGGGCATGAGCTCCAGCAAGCACACGGCTCAGTGTCAACTCGACGCTGCGTCAAACTCGCACCCTCTGAGGTTCTGTCAGTTCTGTCGGTTCCTGCCAGTATGCTTCAGGCCACCGAAGTGGCTGTTCCAGTTATACCAGAGGCCAGTCTTGAGAGGCTGGTACCCTTAGTAGATTATCTGACAGAATGGAAGAATCTGCCAAACATATCTCAGTGGGTCCTGCAGATAGTAGAAAGAGGATACAGAATCCAGTTCGGTTCTCGTCCGTCACGCTACAACAAGGAGTTGCTCACGTTAGTGCATCCCGAGTAGGCTCTGGTTATGGTGCAAGTGGTGAAAGCTCTGTTAGCGAAAGAAGCTATAGAGCAGGTGTACTCACCCGACAGAGAATCGGGTTTTTACAGCCGCTACTTCATCGTTCCAAAAAAGGATGGAGGGTTGCGTCCTATACTAGATCTTCATCAGTTGAATCATACAGTCAAGAAACTCAAGTTCAAGATGCTGACACTCAAACAGGTTGTGACTCAAATCAGGTCCGAGGACTGGTTTGTCACGATAGATCTAAAAGACGCATACTTCCTTGTCTCCATCCTCCCTCAGCACAGGAAGTTCTTGAGGTTTTCTTTCGGGGGCAAAGAATACCAATATCGGGTGCTTCCATTCGGTCTAGCTCTATCACCCCACATGTTCACGAAGTGCGTAGATGCAGCTCTGGCCCCGCTCAGGCTGCAGGGCATACTCATTCTGAACTATATAGACGACTGGCTGATTCTGGCGGAATCAGAGCAGTTTGGCGGTTTGGCATTGAGATGCTGTCCTCGCACACATGCAGAAATTGGGGTTGAGACTAATTGCCAAGAAGATTAGGGTTTCTCCACTACAGAGAACCACTTTCCTTGGTGTGGTTTGGGATTCAGTCACGATGCGAGCCGTCCTATCTCCCGCTCGTGTAGCTGCTATCCTCACAGCCACGAAAGAGTTAAAGCTAGGCCAGTCACGCACTGTGAAACAGTCCGAGAGACTGTTAGGCTTCATGGCAGCGGCGTCCAATGTGATACCCTTTGGCCTGCTGTACATGAGACCTTTGCAGTGGTGGCTCAGGACCAGATGGTTTTCCCCGAGGGTAAACCCACTTCGTATGATCAAGATCACACGGCGGTGTCTCCGCGCCTTGGTTATATGGAGTAAACCTTGGTTCCTATCCCAGGGTCCAGTGTTAGGAGCTCTTTGCCATCGAGTTGTGCTCTCGACAGATGCTTCCCTCACTGGCTGGGGAGCTGTAATGGAAGGCCGCTCAGCTCAGGGTTTCTGGAGTAGTCATCATCTTTCGTGGCACATAAATGGCTTGGAGATGATGGTGGTTGTGATGGATTTATTAATTAATCATATCTAACATTTATTTTTCTTGCAGGAACAACATTCTTATATTTTTGAATCTTAAATGTTTCCAAACCCTTTGGTCAAAAACTTGTGACTTTTGAGTGTGTGAATGTATAAATAACAAATAGGGGAAATTAAACTAGACAGATGTCTAGGTTTGAAAACTTGTGATTAACAATGAAGTAATCAAGAAAACAGAGTTTGCTTCTACCTAGTAACAGAAGGGTTTGCCTGTGAAGAACCAATCAAATTGTAGGGAAATTATGTAATGTATCATGTCATTTTCGCTATAATCCTATTCTATAAAAACTGTTGGTCCACCTTTTGCGGGTGGGATTCTCTCTGAAATTTGTCTGACATCCTCTGGTCTAGATTAAAGCATATTCGAAGGCATTGTCTGAAGTCTGTAGATTATTATTGCTGTGCAGCAAGTTAGTTAGTGCAACAAGTTACAGGTTAGACACTAAAGACCTTATTCCAGAGTGATAGTGTCAATAGGGAGCGAGACGTCGTTTGACTCTTTGTGAGACTCTTAGGCGGGGTTAAATTGCGGTCAGGTAACTATAATTCTTGGGCATTTTATTTATGCGGTAAGAATAGTTGCGCTTAGGCGTCAACCCGCGCGTTCAGAGGCAACTCAACTGAGTATAATATTTGCAGGTGTCAGGACACTCGGTTCAACCTAAGTCAGGTGCGTAGGGGAAAAATCTATCACACGGTCTTCAATGCATTGAGGCATTTCCTCCCAGACCTGAGGGGCCATCATGTGCTTGTCCGGTCAGACAACACATTGGTGGTCAAGTCAAGTCAAGTCACCTTAATTTATAAAGCGCTTTTTACAATACAGATTGTATCAAAGCAGCTTCACAGTGGTCTCTTACATAAATCATCAGGGGATCTGCGGTCGCATCCACTATGCAAACGGGCGCACCAGAACCTCCTATGGTCCCTAGGGAAGATACTCTCCCTGAGGGTAGTGTATATCCCAGGGTGCAAGGGATTGGAGACTCCACCCTGAGATGGTGGAGTATATATGGGAAGTTTACGGCCAAGCAGAAGTGGATCTGTTTGCGTCTCAGCACACGACGCACTGTCCACTTTGGTTTTCCCTCACACATACAGCCCCCCTGGGGACCTTATATATCTCCTCGACGGTTCTCTCTTGGAGAATCCGGTCAGTAGAGACCTTCTGTCTCAGGCAGGGGGCCCAATCCTTCACCCCCACCCAGAAATTTGGAACCTGTGGGTTTGGCCTCTGAGGGGGCCCAACTCATAGATGCTGGTCTCTCAACTGAGATCATCTTAAACTCCAGAGCTCCAGCTACGAGGAAACTTTACGCTCTGAAGTGGAAAGTTTTCACTTCTTGGTGTCATTAGCGTCAGTGGGATCCGGTTAACTGCTGAGTTGGTACAGTGCTTGAGTTCTTACAAGATCGCTATTCAGCAGGGTTATCTCCATCCACGCTAAAGGTTTATGTGGCGGCCATAGCGGCTTACCACGCCCCTGTGGGTAATGCATCGTTGTAGAGACCCCCTGATTATCCGTTTCCTTTGTGGTAATCTGAGGCTGAGGTCTGCAACTCGAACCCGGGGTCCGGCTTGCGAACTGGCTATAGTCCTAGAGGGCTTATCTGTGGCTCCCTTTGAGCCCCTCGAATCGGATTCAGAAAAGTTTCTGACCTTCAAGACCATTTTCCTTCTGGCTATTTCGTCCCTTAAGAGATTCGGAGACCTTCAGTCCCTTTCGGTTTCTCACACCTGCTTTGAGTTTGCACCACGGGTGGTCAAGGCATTTCTATATCCTAAACAGGTCTACGTCCCTAAAGTTCCGACCAATATATCGAGGCCCATTGTGTTGCAAGCTTTCTGTCCTCCTCCTTTTACGACTCCGGACCAGGAAAAGCTAAATCTTCTCTGACACTTATGTCCAGAGAGCTGCCCCGTGGAGAAAATCAGATCAGCTGTTTGTCTGTTTTGGATCACCTAAGAAAGGTCTTCCAGCTTCTAAGCAGACAATCAGCAAGTGGACAGTCGAGGCTATTTCTCTTGCTTATGAGTTCTCTGGCCATCCGTCACCTTTGGAGGTCAGAGCTCATTCTACTAGGAGTATGGCGGCCTCCAAGCCTTAGTTTCAGGGGTTTCCCTACAGGAGGTGTGTGATGCGGTGGGCTGGTCTTTTCCACTCACATTTGTGAGGTTTTATAGCCTGGACCTGGACGCTGCCCCGGGGTCTCAGGTGCTTATGATTTAGTTGCCAAAAGTTTCTCATACAGGCAATTTTACGTACGGCGTTTGGGTATTATCGTTCCCAAAGTGTCATCGACGCAGCGCGAGTTCCCTCTATAGGGAACGTCTCAGGTTACGACTCTAACCCTAGCTCCCTGAGAAGGGAACGAGACGCTGCGTTGCCCTGCCTTACTTCCTGCATCCCTGTGATCGACTTGCTTCGGCTAAATCGAAGCTAACGCCGGTCAGACCGGATGTGCTTTTATCCTTTCCTGGTCATGACGTCACCTACCCGTAACGCTCACTCTCACCATTGGACTAGTTGGCATACGTGCTTCAGACGCAATCACACAGGAGCATTCCCAAATCGACGCAGCGTCTCGTTCCCTTCTCAGGGAACTAGGGTTACAGTCATAGCCTGAGACGTTACCCTGCCTATTAACGGTCCTCAAGATAAGTTTATCAATGTTGTCAAGCTTATGCTAATGAGAAGTGGCTCCTCCTTCACCGTACACAGCCTATACACACACTAATAATTTAAAAAACATGTTAAATATTTATCAGCAAATGATTTGCCAAAAAATTATGTTTAACATGGATTATAAATTATTAATGTGATATGTGTACAGTGAAAAAATAATATTCACCTTGTGATTTGCTACAAATAATATTTGCTAAAAAATAATGTTTCGATGCCTAAATTGACTTGCAACATTTAAAAATGACTGACTTTACATGTATAGTATATAATAAAGTTTTCCATTTATGATTTAAACAAAACAATATAGAATTACTGTTTATCCAACATTACCATAACATTAAAATAATGATCAGATTATCAACTCTTCCAGAATTGTTATATCAGTGCATGTCTATTTTTATATAAAAACTCGTATAGTAGTGTCAGTTAACATTTGAAATGGAATCCTTTCCAAACAGTCACACAAACTTGCACTGAATTTTTCACTATCATGATAATAGAATAATTCAGCACTATAATGGATGTCCTAAAATAATCATATCAAGAATTCAATTTGAATTCAAGACATACACTAAATAACTGTCCTTGCCAGGAAATAGAAAAGAACATAATCTTCCAACTCAAGCAAATAAGAATTCAATAGGCAAACAGAGACCTCCTTGTGAATAGAGAATAGAGCTCTGGGGCATCATGTTTTCCCACCCAGTGGAATAGTGTGATCAGGCCTTGTGACTGTACCATGATCATCATGATGTCTTTACAACAGTGTCCTTTCAAACTTCATGCCCTTTCTCATAAACTTGTTTTTTCTGGCGTTTACGATATATAGAGAAATATGGAAGAAATAATGCATTATGGATAGACCTCTCATACACTATGTGCTGGTTGGCTCCACTGACAGATCACAAACGTTAACAAATTAGCCAATGTAAATGTAAGATTTGCTAACAAAAATATGTTTTAAGAACATTTTACTAAAATTGCCATTTAGTTAAGAAAATGTTATTTTTGAATGTTCTCTGAATTTTAAAAAGGGACAGTTTTTAATGTTTTAATGTTGTTGTTTTTTTGTTATGCAAGGGAACGTTCCATTTTATAATTTTGCAATAAGGAAAGTTACTTTTGAATGTTCTCTGAAACAAGTAATAACATTAACAAAAGTTTTCAAATTTCCAACTAAAACTTTCAGAAAAAAAAAAACCATTCTATTATGTTAATGATACTGGAAGAAATTTTGTTCATAACTTTGAGAGAACTTTGCCAGAACGTTAGCCAAGGTTCTGATAACATTCCTTGTTAGCTGGATAAGTGGTAACCTAAGTAATCATGCAATTTAAAGTTCTCACCCAAGCCTCTCCTCTTCCTTCTTCCTGAGGACGAAGTCTCTCTGAATGACGTCCCACACATGTTTGGCCTCCTCTTCTGATAGTCTGGACAGGTCCAACTTCTTATCCATAATCAGAGCTTAGTTGGTTTTTGTATGTTTTACTAAATAACAGGAAAAATTACTTAAGTACAAGGCTACAAGAAGTCTAAGGATAATGCGACTCTTTCATCATTCTACCTCTTTATCCTCTAGAGAGATAACAGGTTTTCAATATGGGCTATAATCACGAATCCATCCACTGGGTGTGACCCTTTTCATTCCCAAGTCTAGGCAGCTACTTTAAATAAAGGTACATTTAAAAGGTCTCTTAACACATCTTCAAAATAATTTAGGGTAGATTATTCTGTAAACATCTGTAACATCAGTAATTCAGATCAAGTTTGTGAATTCCATTATGAAAGAGGCATTAACTACTGCATTTCATTAAATATCGATGATGGCCCAAATACACCCCTACTGTGTGTAAATGTGGAACTGGTGCCATTCTAATTCATAGTGAATTGATTGCCATGTCTCCTCAGATAGTATTCACGACGATGTGATCATAATGATTTTAGCCAAAGTGTTATAAGTAATTAAACCCAGGAAATGAATCAAGTCGGACAGATACCTGCTGCAATTGTTAGAAAGTAATGTATAATCACAGTGACAACATGCATGAACTCTTCACATTGCTAGCCTTAATAGCAGCAAGAGGAATTGACTAAATATTAAACCTATTAAAATTATTTACCTATTAAACCATTAAAAATCAGACTTTACACTTCGTTCCATAAGTGATGATGAAGATTTAGTTTACCTTGCATGCAGACACGTAGCTGCTCTTGCCAAGTCTCTCAGGATGAGGCAGATAATGTGAGAATAGTCAGAGGTATGGCAGTCTTAATCACATGTCTAGTTTTTCAAATGAAATGCAGAGAAAGCTCCACCCTTTCCATGCTTGAAATATAAATGAATGTTTTTTCCCCCCTGGCAGATTAAAATAACTGTTTTTTGAAGAGAGATTATTGGTTGTATTTTATCCTTTGCTTTTATCTTATTGATTCTTTTTGGTTCAATTTCTTCTATAATAAACAGTTGGTTAAACATTTTTGTTTTACTTTTTGTTTGTTTATATTTTACATTGACAGAGCAAAGCCTCTTTAGTTCTGTTATAAATAAATAAATAAACTTTTATACAACAGGAAGTCCAACAGAACTGGGAATTTTTACTGTTTGTATCACTACCATTATCTGTGTTTTGTTGTTGTTGTTGTTGTTGTTGTTTTCTGCAGCTTACATCGTTATGCTAGGTAACAACAAGTTCTAGTTAAACAGTATATACAGTGAGGCGCTGGAAGTTATTCCTTGAATGGGCAGTCTTCCTAGAAATTTATTCGACCTCCTACAGGGAGAGAAAGAGTACAGAAATACTAAAACCTGTTAAAAATAGTATGAAGTATATACAAGTATATATATACGCAATTGAAGTATTGCTCACATTATCTAACTACAATTATAGTATAACTAGTATCTATTATCTAAAGATAAACATTAGCCTAACCAAAGAGCGCTACATAAAATACCACCACTGGAAAGATTCCTGAGAGGTCAAATAATGTGTAACAATGTAAAATAAGAAAATGCTGTAATTAGATTGCCAACGAATGTGCTTGAGAAACACTGAAATTAATGGGATTCAATGTTTGTGTCACGATTCCTGCCTGTGTTTCCAGTGTCTGTCTTGGACACTTATTTTGAAGTTTCCTTGTATCCTTTGTTGCATTGTTCCCTTCATGTTTCCCTGCTGCTTCTTGTTGGTTACCATAGTTACCCTCAGGTTTTCCCATGACAATTAACCACACCCTCTCATTACCAATGTTAAGCTTGTCTTGTGTATAAACAGCTCTTGTGCTTGTTCATTAAATGTTTGATTGTATCCTGGGTTGTCTTGTTTTCGCCCGCTCCCTGTGTTTTCAACCTTGAGGATTATTTTAATAAATCTCTAACTGCATGGATCCGATTCTCAGCCTGCTTCTTTTGCCTGCCTGAATGCCAACATGTAACAGCTGGAACTCTTGGTTGCTCCACAACATGCGTTACTCAATTATTAAATTCCTATGGAAGTCTATGTGAGTGTCGTAAGGTTTTTCAACGGCTCTGGTTGGAACTATTATTTTGTTCTAAATGCAGCTAACAATATTGACAATACTGTTTAAAATTCACATCACGGTATATGACCTACCTTTTTGTTTGTGGAACTGTTAAAATCAGTCACACTGATCACACAGTCACACACAATTGTGTGGAATCGCAAAAACATGCATTCTTGCTTGATTAATGTATTATCAACATTAAAAACAAGAACTCACTCACACAGGGTGTTTTTGTATCGTCTTCGATATCACAGTCTGTGTCTATTTTGTTCTTCGTGATATTAAGTACTAAAACCTGACTTTTACAAACATATATTGTAGAGAAAAGAATGGCAGTAATGTAGCGCGCTTTGCTGAGGCAGAATACTCTGCATGCAACCTTATGCACCTTGCTTGTGTGTGCTGTCAGTTTTGATGGCAAAGATGAGGTAATTTGATTGGATGTCATGTATAATGTATTTCACCTTTTATGGCACTTCAATGTTGCTGTTTTTACACTAAAAGCTGCTCCAGATAGTACAGCTACGTCTGTAAGATGTCTGCCAAAGATCTGATAATCTAGAAAGCATCTGCTGTGTAAAAACATCTGATAAACGTCTTAGAAAAAGCAGTTTTACTGCTTTTCATTCCAGATCTTAAACATTTTAAAGATATCTTCTAAATGTCTATATGACATCTAACAGGAAACGTCCTAGAGACGTATTGCAGATGAGCAAACACTCATGTAAATGTAGACATCAAATAGATGTCTTCGAGATACTTGTGCTATTTTGCCATTTAGAAATACGCTCAGTTTTAATTCTATTTTAAAGGTGCAATGTGTAACATTTTTGAGTATCTATTAACAGAAATGCAATATGACATCCATAACTATGTGTTCAGTGGTGTATAAAGAACTTACTTAATAAACCGTAATGTTTTTATTACCTTAGAATGAGGCATTTATATCTACATAGGCGCGGGAATCCCCTTCTATGAAGGTCGCCATATTGTGACGTCATGTTTCTACCGTAGCCGAACGCGAACAAACAGCGCTACAGAGCGCGTTTCGTCACTACCTTGAAAGAGAAGCCACAGGAAGCTAGAAGAAGCTAGCCATAAACACCGTGAGTAGTGACTTTTCCCTTGTCAGTGGTGTAAATATGAAGTTGGACTGTTTCATGTAACTTAATTCTTCTCCCTCACTGTGTTATGGCTTATATGTGGGGATAAATGTGCTGGTTAAGTTTGTGAGACAGCTGATTAGTTGGGCTACTCTTGTCATTGACCGTAAAACAGTTACAGGAATCACCAACCCGTCGATCTTGGAAGCATTTTAAGTCAATCGAGTTTCCAAAATCAGAGAAAAAAAGCCTATTTTGTGTGTAGTAAGTGGTGTCTAGGGGATGCGGAGGCGCGCGCTGTTACAATCACGTCATTTTTGCAGCACGCACCTTTGGGCTCATGCGGACGCGTCGAGTTTAAACAAGGCTTTACGCTTTAACCAGCTCAGCCACAGTAACAGCTCATATTAGCCAGCTAAACTTTTATTACCCTGTTAGAAAAAATATATAGTTGCATAGTTTCATGTGGTTTTTCTCCCTCGCTGTATTATGGGTTTGCTATGTGGGGAGAATGTGCTGGTTACTATTATTATATTATGTATTTAGACCCTTGATCCTCACCTGAAACTTTATCCATGATGTGGTTTATAATGGACTGTGGTACAGAAACTTGGTTTACGCTGGCTATTCTCTGCTGTCTCAGACGACGATGTTTGTCCCGTTTTAGCCACTGTAGCTTCTTCGAAAGCTCGGATCATACGAATGAAAGACATCTTTTCACATTGGGTTCTCAAAAGCGGGAGTCGTCATAGTTGGGTAAACTTCTGCGGGGAATGGGAGACAACAGCAAATATAATTGTAGTATTTTCATTTGCATTTGCTGTAAGCTAAAAGCTAAAAGCAAATTAAAAAATCTGTGATATCGTTTCCAGGACAGTCCAAAAGAGGGAAAAATATAGAGAGATTCATTACAGCAGTCAGAAGAGAGAAAAATCTCAGTCCCTCAGCCTTTGTATTAGAAACATCCTCACAGTCACAGCAACATAAGTTAGTGTTTTTTTGTCATTTACTGCCAAGCTTATTTAACACAATATATAGTATTGTGATATTATAGCAATGAAAATATTAAACTTCACTAGATTTGCTATGTTGATAACTGTGGAAAAGCATCACCACAGTCCATTAAAATGGTCCATTCTTGGTGTGCTTCGCATTTCTTGTTTGTGCATCCTTGTTCTCTTTCAAAGTGGAACTCTACACTGCACTTTGGATCGAAGCTATGGGGATGCCATCGTGACCTTGACCTGTGTCTAATTTCATTGGAGCATCATAAGCAGAGCTCCCTTGGTGCACATCAGTCATTTCAGCCCGTTCTCATCCTTTGGCGTCATATAGGTGACGCTATATGACAAAACGTCGAAATACTACGCACATGGCACCCTTTAGCGTGAATATAACACGCGAACCCAAGGCGTCATAAAGTTGACTGGCATCCTTTAGCGTGAATATGAGACGCAGACCCTACCCCACACCTAAACCTACCCATCACTTCGCGTGTTATATTCACGCTAAAGGGTGCCATGCGTAGTATTTCGACGTCACCTATATGACGCCAAAGGATGAGAATGCGTTGGTCATTTGTATAGTTAGCACGTGCAGGCAGCACCCAGATATTTGACACCTAAGGACATACACGTACTGTGTGTTTATTGTCTAGGAGCATGCAGTTCTCAGGGGTTCTGAATGAGCTCATTGTGAGAAATTCTCAAAATTATTTTTTCGAGGGAAATTCTCGAGGGATGTAGGAATTACGTCTGCGCCTCGCGGCTCAGTTGCCGAGGCATAGCAGAGGCTTAGGTCATGGGGATCGCAGATCAAGCTAGCAGAGGAGTTTGAGAAAGGTTTGGGCCTTTTACGCTCCTTGGTCATGGACTTGAGCAATCCGATCCAGCAGATATCATACTGGTGCCATCCAGCTAAGAGGAGGCAGATGTGGCTGAAGAGGCAGTGGACGGTATTTGTACTGCCCCGCTTTCATGGAATTTGATTGACATCATTTCCCATCGTGCCACAGCCAGATTGGATCTGACTTGGGGGCGTGAAAAACTGGAAGTCGCTCGTGGTAGGTCAGTCGAGAGGTTTCTGTCAGGATATAGTCACCCTTCCCCCATGACCCTTCCTTTCCTTTCTGATCTCCACGCTGTGGACACAATATCATGGACACGAATACAAATATATTCCGTCATTTTACTAAATCGTAATTCATTAGATTTAAATCAAAATTAGAGAACAAATTAGTACAAAGAAATGCGGGAACAAATTAATTAAATGCGGGAACGAATACAATACATGGGAACGAATTCTTAATTCACAGTTAGCAATTCTCACTGCGGCTACATTAACTTTGCATTGCTTCTAACATTAAAAAAATGTATTCACATTCATATGTAACCCTCGATCCCTGAAGGAGGGAACGGAGACGTCACGTCGTAACATCCCAATACGTCGGTGATGTTCCAACATGACGTTGAACGTGACCGACTGAAAGGGAACAAGAGATTCATCGTTTTTTGTTTATAACCCATACAATTTGAATACAATTTTGTTTTTCATGCTGCTCAGTACACTGCAATGTTTCTGGATTTACAACTGTATTTAAAGGGATACGGTGAAATTTTTCACCCTAAACTGAAAATTAGGTCATCGTTTACTCACCCTGGTGTTGTTCTAACGTATGTTTACAAATACACATTTGAAGGCTACATGCTGACTAAATGTATTATTTACATACATATAAATAATAAACTCATCATTTAATAAAATAAATATTTTCAAAGAGTTAAAACAGTAAAATACAGTGATTCCAACCGTTTTTGATATGGTAACTGTTACCGAGAACTGAAATTGTACTGTTATTGGTACTGACTACTGGAATTTTGGTATCGTGACAACCCTATAGTATATAAACTAACTGGCCAGTTTTTGTCTAAAATATAAGTTACTGTATAGGAATAACTTGTATAATGAACTTTTGTACAGTATAAAAGACGAATGACAGACATGTTGATATTCAGCACAACATCACTTTTCCTTGTACATAAATGCATTTCTTACATTTGGAAAACTGCAAGGATAGAATTTGCCATCTGCCATGTTCAACCTTTTGACTTCCACATTACAGTAGAGCTTATGAGGCATATGGCAAGATGACAGAGTGAAAGTTTCTATTTACTGTACGCCCATCTACAGGCAATGTCTGAGGTGGCTAAAAATGAATCTGGGATAGTTTTACACACCACAGCGCAGTCTTAGATATGCATTCTGCAATGCCTCAGTAATGTTTCATGTCTTTTGCAAAATGACACAGCAGATTCTCTCCTGGAATTGAATAGCTAAACAATGCATTCCCTGGTCTAGAACTGTCTCTACCTTAGTGATCAACAGAAAAGCCCATCTCTGGGGCTGTGGTTCAAGTAAAATATGTGTCCTAATTCATGATATAGGGTAGGAGGTTGAATGAGAGTTGCCCTTTAGTGCATTGGGTCTAGACTATGGGCAGGCTGATTCAATACTCTAAAATTAGCTCCCATGCACTGCCCTTGCTTTGGGTGATGGCTAGGGGAAGTCCTGCTCTTATTTACGGAAGCATTGCTGAGCTTTCAGTGACTTTTCAAATGTACCAAATGGATCTTTGCACACACTGGTTGAGTGTTTCACCGATGAGCTGTAAAGTGGGATCTAAACCGATCTAAAGAGTTTCTCAAGAATAAATGTGGTTAAATGGAAAAGTATGAGACTGACACTGTAAAAGGAAAGCTGTAAACCGAGCCAGAATAGAAATCACTTTAATGTGGGCAAAAATGTTTCACGCTGAAGTTAAAGTATTGTCTGCGGATCTTTATATTGCTTAAAATGATTATAATTAGAAATAGAATTTAATCAATAAAATACAATTATAAATAGAATATAATTATAGTACTTAAAAATGATATTTGTATAAATTAATTATTTCTTTATGGCAAATCTAGGAGGAACATCTTTAAATAGTTTCTGGACCAAAAAGGTATTCATACACACGTGCACACACTTCATCCCGTGCCAGTGTGGCCTTCAGCTCCAGCATGTTAGAAACAGGAAAGCTGAGCCTCAAACTAAACAGATAAATATACATGGCAGACATGCACGATACTATTCACAACAGCTCAGACCAACATTCTTTGAGAATTTTAAATCAACAGGTCAACCCCATAAACAGCTGATTCTTTTGTTCAATACCACATTTTTCTCTTTAGTTTTTGTTTTCTACATGTCTCTACAAAAAAGTACTCTAAAGATTAGAGTTTGAATTTGTTAATGGACATATTAAAGTGCCGAGTAAGCCAATGGGGTAAGCCAGTCCTCATAATGTAGGTCAGCATGCTGGATCTTGCCCACAGGGCACTGGGTTCATAGAAGAATGACATGTCTGTTTAGATTAGTTTGACTGGTTACACAAAACATTTATTGAAAAATATGTTTTTTTAATATTTTGACAAATAAATTCAAGTTTTGATTGAATTAAAGTTAAAATGAATTAAAGTTTGAATATTTAAATGTAGAGTACAACTACTTTTTAATAATCATTAAAACAATAAAAAGAACAAACAAAAAAAGAGTTATGTGGAAATGTTTGCAGTATTGCCTTTGTCATTTAAATGACTGTTTGACAAACAATTGTTGCGTTTAACATCTAAATGCTGTCTAGATGTGTTGACATGGTTTATCTCTCCAGTCTCAGTGCTTTTATTTTTCAAGGACCAGTGTTGATGGTGTTTCTGTAAAATCGCTATCGTTTTTGCAAATCCTGATAAAATAAGGTATTGTTCGCTCTCTAAAAAAAATAAAAAATAAAAAATTAGCTTATATATAACCTTAAATGGCATTCATTTTAATGGCTGTTTGCTGGTTGCTTGACATGTACAGCATTGTTATTCAAATCCTCTGTTAGGGTTTGTTTTAGGGCCATAGCAACTGTTTCTGTGGTTGATAGAAGAGTCAGTGTTAACCTCTGGCCCATAACTTTGTCAAACATGCCTACCAGCAGCTGTAATTGTCAGGGTTGGAAACATGAGGCCTGAATCCTACTGTGAGTCTATTCCTGGAGTCATGTGGCTTCTCTCATTCTCACCAAGCTAAAATAACCACCCACTCCAACTGTGTAGCTCAATGCCTCACAAGGGTAGGTTGGAGAGAATGCAGATATAGCCACACAGTTAAAATGGGTAAAATGTTAAGAATTTTAAGGTCATCTGAAGGTGTGTGCACTTCAACAAAAGAATAATTTAAATAAGTGACACTTTCTTTGTAAGTCCTTTTATTTCCACCAAATTATCCAATGAAAATGGACATTACATTGCAGTTCATCATTCAAGTGCATTTACTATTTCAAGTATTCAAACATTTGGATGTCACGTGACACTCTAAAGTAAGTTGGCAAAGCTGTATTCTACAGCATATAATCTAGCTTTAATTTAGCAAACAAAACATAAACTTCTACATTCTAATAAAAATATAAAAAAGCATAATTCAATATTAACATCCATATTAATAAAAAAGTACAAAAATCAAGTGGAAAAGACATTACAAATGGTGCAATTTGTACAATTTGTACTAAAACTGCTTTAAGATTGCACTTCCCTTGTCTCACAGTTATCAAAAGCAGCCAGATTATTGTCCTTATGACTGAGGTTTGTATCTGCTGTCATCTCTTTTTCCCTACAAAGTCTTTTTTTTCTAAAGTCTATCATTGCTTATTCCTCCTCTTCCTCTTCCTCTTCCTCTTCCTCGTCATCGTCATCATCGCCACTGACTCCAAAGTCCAGTTTTGCAAGCATGGCCTCTGCGTCTTCAGTGAAGAGCGTGAAGTGGTCCATACTCTCAAAGCCTGGCTCTGGCCTCTCTAGTTGTGAGTTCTTGGATGTATCCTTGGCTTCAGTGATAAGCTGCTTAGCTGCGATGAGGAACTCTGCCGTACTGCAATTGTCTATTGTCTGGGAGGCTTTATCTATCAGCTTGATGCTGACCTGCAGGTGTTCACTGTACTGCTGAACTAGAGATCGCACCACAGCCACCTTCTCATCCTGTTCTTGCGCGATCTTCTCTAGGAGTTGGGTCTTGCGGTCTTCTAGGATGGCATAGAGTAGGTCAAACTTCTCCCCAAGCTTCTGCTTCTGCACTTGGCTGTTTGCTTCCACCATTTTGCTGTTTTCCTCCATCTGCGTTAACATCGCCTTTAGGCAGCTGTTGCTGGCGCCTAAAAGGTCGATTGAATTTTTAAGTTCGGACTTCTGTGCTTCATAAACAACTTTTAGAGTGGAAACCTCACAGTCCTTGTGCTGACCGAATACCTTGCACATGGAGCAGGTGGGTGTCTGGCAGGTTATGCAGTAGATGTTAATTTTTTCCTCTTCGTGTACCTCGCACATAGGCTCTTTTGTTTCTTTGGATTTCAATGGGGGTTCAAGGGCATTACCTCCTTTCTCCAACTGCTGCTTGTAGATGTCAATGATGTTCTCCACCAGAAGGTTCCTCTGAAGACCATAGACACCGTGGCGGTCCAGAACCACCTCAAAGCGGCAGGTAGGGCATCTGAAGATACCTCCAGAGTAGTGGTATGGGTTTTTGGAGTCGTAGAGGTCACTGGCGCAGCTGCGGCACAGATTGTGCTGGCATGGTAGAATGACAACTGGCTTTGTGAACATGTCCAGGCAGATGGGGCAGCTCAGCTGCTTCTCTAGGCTCTCCATGGGACTCGGAGCCCGGACTATTTGACCCGTTCTGATGTCCATTTCTGTTGTTTGAGGTAAAGTCCTTATAACCTTCACTGCTTTGCCTTTTGGTTGAGCTTGAGCTTTTCTGCTTGCTTCTTCCTTTACTGAGGCTTATTTGATCTGTCGAGGCAGAACGCACTCAGGGCTTATATACTGTCCAGCTGCCTGTGACACTTGATCTGTGAGGCGGCTGTGACAAGATTGCTCCCACCACTTGTTTGTGCGGCTTGATTCGAAAAAACATGCTGCCCTCCAACACAACCCACTAAAGAACAAGTCACATGCCAAACTTAGCAACACGACCCCCTCCCTTTCCAAGCTCTCCATCTGCAGAAATGTGTAGGCAAATCACAAAGTCAGGCCAAACAAGACCCATGTGATAGCTGTTGGCATGTAGACATCCAGAACTTCCCTGACTGCACAACAACATGGCAGGTCAGGGGGATTTTTAGGACAATTGAGCAAGAGGTGAGTTGTGTACCACACAAACTGTTTTAGGCTCCATTGTCCTTCACCCCTGATGCAGTACTTATGGCCGCTTGCCACCAACATTTGTCTGTATGTTTCTGGAAGAGAGATCAGATGGTCGGTGTGCATGGGCAGTTCAAGATTTTCCACGGCATTGAAGCCTCTCATCCCCCATGGCTGGGTGTTTCACAACCTCAGCACAGTGAATTTGTAAACAAACAGTCATATGGTCGACAGCCATGCCACCCCTCGTCATCTTAAGCAATATCACGCTGAAGGTGTCACTGTCCCCTCCTGGAGATGTGCTCCAAAACAGCAGGTGGACACTGCAGTACATAAAGCATATTTATGTCATGTTGGTTGCAGAATCATCTCACGCACATATGCGCTGCAACAACATGTTCAGACCAGTATGTGCCCATCAAAGGTTATTTGGAGCAAAATGTATTATCAATGAAAAATTTGATGTTTTCAAGTGACAAAAACATGTACAGTATACAGTATGTTAAGTGTTTAATTATTCTAAGCGGTCAATGTATTTTCAACTGTATGCTTCACTGCTTATTAAGCCGGGGACACATTTAACGACTGTAAGGCCGATTATGAATGTAATTTGATACTTAAGACTGACCATGCCCAAACTCACCGAGTCAGAGACAGTTGCGTTCAGTCTGTGTTTAAAATCTGCTCCAGTCATTGGAAACAGTAAATGTGTTCAGTTCAGTCTTAGAATGTTTCAGCTAGTCCTTAAGTGTGTCCTGGCATTATTATTTGAAAACCTTTGTCCACCAAATCAACATCATGTGAAATGACCAACAAAATTCCTGTGGTGCAAACAACATGTAAACAAATCAGTGTTGTTGTGGTTGTTGTTCTTGTTCTTGTTGTTGTTCATTAAAACTAACATTGTTAAAAATTGTTTTTGCTAATTGATAACATTAAATAAAATCTAAAAGAAAAACTTTGAAATATTATCTTGGCAACTACCTGAAATAAAAAGTTAGAATATTATTTTAAACTTAAATAAAAATAGCTAAAAATCTAAAAGGAAATATTTTTTTAAAATGACTAATAAAATTGACAAAAGCACATAACAAAACAAAAATACAAAAACTTAAACTGAAATTAAATAAAAGATCATTTAAAATTTAAATAATTTGGTGGAGATATATATATATATTATATAGTATATATTTAGATACAACCTATATTATATATCAAGAAATAAAGCTATGCAGTGTCTGTATAAGTGAACAACACAATGATCAGTGGTGGAATTGGCTGAGATGCAAAGAGCATCAGGTAAATAGGACAGCAAATTGGTCAGTAACTGAGTCTGATATCCCAAATCTAGAGCTTTGTGTAACCTTTATGAAAAGTAATCGAGGACAGTTTGTTGGCCCTGTCACCATGTATATGATCCATGTAAATATAAACAAGTGTGGGAGCCCAACGCATTCTCATGCAGAGGCACTTATGCAACTCATGGACACAACTCTTAAAAGTGAATTTTAAAAGATGTACTTATACTGTTCAAATGACTTCAAATAGATGTTTGTGGGTTGTTTTAATATTTTGTGTGTGTTTTGGCAGTGAAGCATGTTCCTAGAACACACTGTCTTGGTTCAACGTGAGGTATAAATGACAGAGGCTGGATCAAATCACCAGATCATTTTCTTGTCATGGGATATTCTAAAAAATCTTCAAAGAGACATCTGTGTTATCACAATCCATACAATTAGCACAATGTGAGGAAAGAGATCAAATATAAAGTAAATATGAATATATATATATTTAAATATACATGTACGTATAAATACATTCATGTGTTTTAATTTACATTAATATCCATTTGTTACTATTACTAACATATTTAGCTGACAAATAAAAAAAACTAGTGAAAATGTAATGTGAAAAGGCACTAAGTTTTATCTGTATTTTATAGACTAAAAAGTATCCACTAGGTGGCAGAATATACCAATTTTTTTCAACACCTCATTTACAAGCTGTCTCAAGCTCTTTTCACTTTTGCTTTAGTTCAAATTTTAAGTTATTGGTTCAGTCTATGTTATGTGAGTGAGCAGACTTAAAGTCGCAACCATAATGCACGCAGTTCTTATGTCTGTGAGAATGCGTCGCCTCTCCAACAAAAGTGTTTCCTACAGTGTATGTGATCACTGGAGACCAATTATTTGTTTTGGGTCCACAATCAAAGATAACAGATGAATGTACATTTCCTGACTGGAGCCAGTTTGACCCCTATCAACAGAACCATCTTTGTGTCCACAAGTCTACAATACGAGTTCATTGTGGCTGTGTGTACGAGAGACACAATGATTTGAATGACTTGTAGCAAGCCAATGCTGACGTGATTCACTCTGTAAGGCTGTTGTGCAGAATTCCGTGCCATGTCAGATACGACGTGGCGTGCAGACGACATTCCTGTTCTTGACCGTGTGTTTAACTTCCGCCACTCAGAGGATGTCAAATGGCCATAAATACAGCAGTGTGTTAGGTACAATAGCACAATCAACAACAACGCTGATAGAAATTTTCCCACGCTTTAAGAAATTGAAATGCCAGCAAAAACATTATTAATAACTAGCGCACTTATAAAATGTAATGTGATCCTTCTCGTAACTGGCAAGACATGAAACCTAAAAATAATTCCAAAACAAGAAGCTATTCTAATGGTTTCTTTACTTGAATGAGCTGCTTGATATGAGTGATATGATACAAGCTGCTTGTTTAGTGTGATGAAATAGAAAAATACTCATGGAAAATTGTACAGTTTAGGTTATGTTATTCCGACAGTTTCTCAAAGCTGGTGATCTACTCATTTTGGCAAGGAGAGGGTTAAGTGTTATCTCACTAAGTTCAGACCAGGTCAGCAAAGGTCAGCTTCCTATTGCTGCTAAGATTTTCTCTCACCTCCTGACAGCTGTTGATCAGTGAACTTTTAGCCCAAAATTCTGCTACAATTTGATCTTATAAAGTTAAAGAAAAATATGACACATTTTAACATTGTACATCAAATTCTCTGAAGTCAAAATCTTCATTGTTGTTCTGAGAAAACTTACTGGAGCCCTATACATGCTTTAAATCACACTATTCTGGTGCCATGCGACTATGTCTCTGACCGCCTCCACTCTGAACGACCACAAATTTGTCAGAGATAAAAAATAATTAAAGCTATACTTTTTCGTGCTCCTGAGAAAAGACATGTGTCGGGAGTCACAGAATGGAGGAATGTGTGAGGGAAGATGTCCAGACAGGGACCTTGGTTGTACACTCTATAAATCTCTGTCTAGATTAATCATTGTTCTTATGGTTTCCACAGGCAGACGGAACACATGCAGGCTTCTTTCATCACCTATATACTCAAATCTTCCCGCTGGAATATAGACTAATGAGAACCTTCTGGGACTAGAACTGTTAGGTTTCTTCCAGATAGAGTTGAAAGCAAAAGACCCTGACAAGACATGCCAGTGTGGGCCACATAAAAATCTGCAGGTGTTCAAGTCTATACTTGTCTTTTAGTGAATAAAACTGGGTTGGAAGAAATCTGGTATTTGCAGTTACAATCACTTTTTTTATTTTTTTTTATTACTTATAATAAAAAACAAAAATCCCTTTTTCTATTTACAATAATTTGTTAACAGCAAAAAAATTCTGCATATTTTTTTGTAAAAAAAAATACACCTTTCAATATACATACTGTCAAGAATAGTTTGTACTTACGCTCTATCTTTGTAAGATGCTTTCTTCTAAAGCTGCTTTGGAACAATATTTATTGTGAAAAGTGTTATACAAATTAATAGAAATGAACCGAAAGCGTTTCTCTTTGAGTTTACATGTATAACCCCCAGTTTCACAGACAAGGCTTAAGCCAGACTAAAATGCATGTTTGAGCTGTTTTAACTGAAAGCTACTTGCACTGACAGATCTTAAAATATATCAGTCCCATTGTTTTGTCTCAAGATGCACACCTGTATTTGTTTTTTTTGTTTTTTAAAGCTACTTAAATTCTTAGGCCTAAACCTGGCTTAATCTAAGCCCTGTCTGTAAAACCAGGCCTAAAAGTACTATATAATAAAAGCATAAAAATGAAACTGTCACGGTGGTTACAGGCAAACAAACGAAGATGTAGAAGATAGTTCCAACACGAAGTTTTAATAATAAGAATCCAAAATAACAGACAAACAGGTAGAGCAACACACATTAAATGTAAGAGTGACCAGACAACAAACAGAGGAAAAGGAGGAACTTAAGTACTGACACTATTAAAGGTAATTAACGCTATACAGGTGAAACAAAAAACTCATAATGATGTGACCATGGTAACAAAAGAGTGGCGGGAAAAATCAAACAAAGGAAGACATGTGATTAATGAAAACAAACTGAATGTCCATGAAAAATAAAACAAACTGAACATAACTGTGACATTACGCCACCTCCGAAAAGGCGTGACCTCGCGCCGCAACAGCAGACAAGGGAGGGAAGGTGGGGGCTTTGGAGGTGGCCGATGAGGTGGCGAAGGGATGGCAAGAGGATGTGTTGAAGGGATTGTGGAAAGTGGACGACGACAATCCCCTGGTGGTGAAGATGGAGGTAGTCCGATGGCACAGACCCAGAGCTCACCAGTGCCGACAGCCCACGGAG